AATAACTGGTTGGATTTTGAAAATCCTGTCAGCATTGGGGTCAGTCTGAGGAAGAAATTTGCTATTATCATTGAAATGCAGAAAATGTCTAATCTTTTCAAATTTATTCAAAGCCATTGTTTGTTGAATAAGTGGTGTTTCAAGGACGGGTCCCCAGTGGTTGGTAACTCTGGGCAGTTGAATTAGTTTCAGATACGTGAAAAGTGTTATTGAGATTTCTTTGTACCAGGTAAAGGTTAGTCTCATCCAATATTCTTTTGATAAGTTGTGGTGGAAACAGGTAAAGAAAGAACTGGACAGAACTTTCAAGGTCTAAGATGTTACAATCTAGTGATTCATTGCCAATAAATGCCAGCTGCTGTGCATTCAATTCAAGGTTTTTCTTTTTCCAGCACAAGTTTAGTTTTTTGGGTTTCTGTCGTTTTGCTATGGGAACTCAAGGGTCTGCTTGAGTTCCCATATCACTTGAAGATGAAGGGAACAGATCTACGTCAGGAGAAAGGTCAATGTGGTCATCTTCTAGATTTTCCATTATATCCTCCATATCAATTTCATCTATCAGAGTTTTTTCAGCTAACTTTCCAAGCTCGGGGTCAAAATCGGGGTCAGCGAGGCTGTCGTCATCAAAATCCAGGCCATCTTCACTCTCAAAATTATCACGGAGTTCAGAAATAATATCGTCTTCACAAAGGCAATGTTTGTGAGCCATCCTGAAACACGAAAATAGCCATGGTGACTAACTACACTTTTCAGATAAGACAGCTACCCTTTTCACATGATGTAGCTCACAAGATACAAACATTAAATATCAGATTAGCCAATAAAAAACTATAAAATTCTTGAAGATAACATTAGATTACAAAATTCAATTATTTACCTTTAAGAATTTTACATAAACAAACACCAGCAGGTTCTAAAACTATTATCAGATTTTTATATTCGCGATATGCACTGACTTGTTCAAATGTTCAAATCAGTAACGAAAAATTCAAAATTGTAACAAGTAACACCATCTAAATTTTAGATTTTAAACTAATATTGTAACTTGGAGTATAGACAACAGAATACAGTGCATGAAAACGAATGGAAAAATTCCTGTTAAAAATTAGAAAGGCGAATTGGGTTTGTTGCCTGTAGTCTACCAAATGTTATAGAGGGTTAAGTTGGGATAAAATGTCATTTATCCGAGTCATCGGGAATACCTGGGGTTTTGTTATATCAAAAATTTGTTATATCAAAATTTTTCACAGGTCTAAAGTGATACAAATCTCATCAGAGCTCTTGGAACAACATGTATAGGAGAGTTCCTCTCCGATGAGCTCTCTTCACATATACCTGCTTTGATAAGCTCACTAACTTGCTTCTTAAGGCCAGTTAATTAACTGTATGGAATTCAGTACTGTCTAACATTAACGGGACGTTCCGACGTCAGGCTAACGGAGTGAATATATCTGTTAGTGCCAGATAACTCGGCAATTTCGCTAGCAACAGCGTCTGGATATTTACTCAAAATATCTATTATCTTCCTTTTAACTGGGTCGTCTAGATCTCTCTTTCTAACTCTGCCTTACTATTTATATTAATACAAAATCCCCCCCTCACAACTTGGTTTATCAGCCTTAACTACTGATCCGATTCCCACCAACAGCCCAGGGTGCTGGCAAATAATGTCTATTCCGTAGACATCATATCGTAACTTGCCCCCTCAGGAAAACCAACACTGGGTGTTTTCGTGCATACCTTATTCCCATCATGGAAACAGCACTCGATTTCTACGGCCTCGTCACTTTTTATGAGTGCTCCTGACATCCCACTAATACGTGAATCGTTTGGGACCATCCAATTCCTATTTTCTTGCTCGAGATATTCAGTCAATTTATTATTAATGACGGTCCTTTCGGCACCCGTATCTACTAGGCCTGCAATTTCATGACCTATGATTACTCCCTTTACAATCGGCAACCCTCAGTCTGACAAATGTATCTTTCTGGTCAGTTCTAATTTAACTAACGGGTCATTCGCCTGACCTTTGAAATGACCTCTGACTAGTTTAAATTTCTTCTTTTGTTGCATCTCCTTGCAATATGTCCCTTCTCACTGCATGAGTAGCAATGGTGCACTTCTCCCCACTTCTCAGAGCCCTTACTCCACTTCACATATTCAAGCAAAGATGCGAAAGATTCAGTCAAACTCTTTACTTGATTTTGCAACTCTGCTGCACGGTTCCTTCTTTTTCTCCAACTCCCTTTCATGCTCAACATTTGCGCATACCTCATTTATCCCACCTCACTTATTGCAGGCTGATTCAGTTTCCTCTTCCTCTTTGGCCCTTGCTATTGCCTCATCCAAAGTGTCTGGCCGACTCTGCCTTACCTGCCTCTGAATCTCCGCTAGTAGCCCTTTCACAAAACACTCTTTGACAGTATTGTCGCGAAGCGTCGCTAAGTGAGTATTACGGATCACCGCTTGCGAAAACAATGATTCAATCCTAATCCTATATTTGTAAACTTTCTCACCTCTTCTCTGGGAGATTTTTAATACATGATCAAAGGGTTCTTGTTCCTTTTCTTTATGACCAAAGCACTTTATAAGCCCCTTCCTTATTTCATCATAGCTTATGACGCCCTGGTCCTTTAAGTCGAAAAATACAGACAAAGGCTCACCTTTTAGGCGAGCTCGAACTACGGTGACCTTCACAATCTCGTCCCAGCTTGTCAATGATGCTATGTCCTTGATGGTTTTCAAAAATCTACTTAAATCTAAAGTATTGCCAGGCAGATTCGAAAAACATTGAATCATGCCCATAAATCCAGTTACAATGGGCACATTGCCAAATTTCCCTGCCCCTGTCCCTGAAGATCTACTAGTAATTTGTTCGTCCATAGTTTACCAAAACTTTTTCACAATAAAATGGGTGTTTGGTCAGTTTTTTACAACAAACAACTCGATCAAAATGATCCTGTTGCGACAGGATCATTTTGATTGAGTTGAGTTGATCGCCAATGTTGAGTTTCCTGTAGATCGAAATCCACGGAGACAATAAATATGCATATGCATATATATGCAATCCCCTGGAGGGGGGTGGTCCCTCTTCGGACGACGAAAGTCACCCTCACTTACTACGCAGTTAGTGTGAAAATAAAAAATAGTGTCCGTATTTTCACAATTTTATTCCGCTGACAAGTGATACATGTTCTGCACCATTGATTGGTATCTTTGAGCATGGCTGGCCATACAAAGTGTACCTGAATTAGTTTCCAGGTTGCACGAGTTCCAGGGTGGGAGAGATTGTGAACAGAATTGAAGGCTTCACAGCGAAAGTTAATTGGAATGTATGGTCGTATCCTATTATTTGACGTATCACACATGATTTGTAGTTTTAAATTTAGGGTGATAAGTTGTAGCTGTAAGGAAGATTGTTGGGTAGACTGTGTAGTTTCCTGATTTTTTGGAATGAACAAGGTTGGGTGCATTTTTTTGCATCTGCACCAAAGTTAGTGTGGTAAAAACATAAGCCACCTTCTGGTTCTTTGTAACGGCATCGCTCACGGGATGGACTTCGTCTGTGTGAGTCCTGGCAATTTTGGAAGTTGTATCTTGGGCGATGTTGGTAGCATGGTGCTCGTACCTGGGTAGAGAGTTCATTCACTTGCAATGGGAATTCCTGTAGTTGTTTCTCGATTGGGTTGCTAATAAAGAATTGTTCCTGTTTATGATGATAAGTTTGTGTATTTTATTAGCCATTGTGGTGAGTTGTGACAGTGTTTCATTCAAGGCTGCCAGAATAGCTTGGATATTCCCTGGGAGTCTTGAGAGCCACAGTGATTTTAATAAGTCTTCACTGAAATATTCATTGGCGAGGTCACGCATCTTAGTTAGTAAGTGTGATGGGTGCTTGTCACCCAATTCAAGTCCTTGTAATAGTGTTCGCAATTTAGATGTTTGGCTTTCTGAGTATATGTCGATTAGCCTTTTTTTTTATAGTGGCATATTTATTGCTGTCAGGTGGCTTGGTTACCAGGTCATGCACAGATTCTAAGATGTCTGATTCTATTGTTGAAATTACATAGTAATATTTGGTTATGTCGGCGGAAACGTTAGCAATGGCGAATAGGGCTTCAAGTTGAGCAAACCAGAGAGTGGGGTTATTTTTCCAAAATGGAGGTGGTTTGACTGCCACTCAAGAAATTTGTGGAATGCCTGTTGATTTCATTATATCAGTTGACGAAATTTTTCAAAAATAAAGGTATAAAATTGTCACTGACCTTCTTAAATCACAGGAAATAGTTAAATTTCATTTTTCTGATTTTGTGGTTGTATGATGGAGATGGATTATCCTTGTGAGGCACGTGTCTTCTTTGTTCAGGTCCCCAGTTTTGGAGTTTGAGCCCCTATGCGAATCGCTCGATGTTGATGAGAATACGTCCAGTGGGAATTTAATATCTGTTTTCTTTATTTACAAATATATACGGTAATGTACAATACAATGTATTTACAGCCCGACATCGATCGAAGGTTAAAGTTGTTTGTGCTGACCACTTGTTCTATTGTCCGTTTCCAGTAGTCGTTGGTTGGAAGTGGGTGACCAGTTCAAAGTTTACTTTTTTCCTATCCTTGCGCACTCTATCCTCCGAATCAGCAGGTTCCCGACAGGCGCCACAATTACTTTTTGAGATTTGGTTCCATCTGCTCTCTCTAAGCTGGACTATGGATGTATAGTCTATGGCTCTGCGCGAGAATCTACTCTTTGGATGCTGGATCTAATCCATTTTCAAGCACTGCGTTTGTGCACTGGTTCTTTTTGAACTTCTCCTGTACAAAGTTTGTACGTGGATGCTTATGAGCCTCCACTATCTCTCAGGAGAGAACAGTTGTCTCTTTTTTATTACATTAAGCAGAAATCCCAAGCTAAACAATCAGTTGACTGTATGGTATTAGATACGCAACGCATAACATTATTTGTAGCTCACCCAAGCTGTGTCCCTACATTCAACATAAGAATGGAGAATGCAAGCAGCACGATTGACCTGAATACAAGCAACATTTTACAGGCTCAGGTTGATAGTATACCACTTTGGTCAACCCCTGAGATAAATGTTGACTTTAGCTTAAAGCTGTTACCTAAGGAATCCACTCCAGACTATATCTACATACAGCACTTTGCAGAAATTTAATACCAAGACAAGAAGTTAATTGCTATTTATACTGACGGTTCTAAATCGGATGAATATGTTGGCTCAGCTTTCGTTAGCCAGGATGAAATCGTGGCAGAACAAATTGAATCAAATTCATCTATCTTTACTGCAGAGCTGCAGGCTATTTATCTAGCTTTAAAGTATGTATTCAGAAAAGGTCATCGTTGTTGCGTGATTTACACTGACTCAGTTAGTTCCCTTCAAGCTTTGATTTCATGTGAACCTAGTTTTTACTCCATAGTGATTAAAATTCGTAAATTGTTTTGCCATCTTCTTGCAAGGAATTTCTCTATAAAATTTTGTTGGGTCTCAGGCCATGTAGGTATAAGAGGAAATGAAGTAGCTGACGCAGCTGCAAAGTCAGCTAGTTTTTCACAGCATACAATGCATATTGAAGGAGGCGATTTGAAGCTACTCGTTAAGAAACGACTAGTGGCGAGATGGCAAAATATGTGGAATGCACAAGTCCACAATAAACTACATGAGATCAAACCTATGATAGAAAATTGGACACATAATAAATATTATGACAGGAGATTTGAGGTTATTTTCACTCGTCTGAGGATTGGACATACTTGGTTGACTCATCAATACGTTTTGAAGGATGAAGAGCAACCAGTATGCCAGTATTGCAACTGCTCTCTAAGTGTTAAACTCATACTGCTCTATTGGTTTGCCTTTGAGAACTGTCGTAGACAGCATTTTGGAAATGCAAGTTTCAAAGAGATTCTGGGCCAGAGACCAAATCATTATAATGTATTGGACTTTTTAAAAGTCATTAATTTGTATAAAGAAATTTAATTAATTATTTATTTATATATTTATTTCAATTTTGCATGTTGTTGTCTGTTTGTACTTACTATGTGAATATTTATTTTTATTGTTGTTATTTATTTATTTAGTTATTATTGTCATATGTTAGTTATCTATCATGTTTAAAATTTTTTAATAATTTGCCCTGGCGCAGCATAGCCTATATGGCTCTTGTGCCAATTAACAAAAACCAACCAACCAACCTACTTTTCCTTTTTCAGTTAATTTCATTGAGTCTTCTTTGTCCATGCTTAATTTTTCAGCAGGATCCTGTAAAAAGTGAAAAATTCTCATTTCTGATATAATAATCTTACATTACTTGTACTGATTTTTTATTAACTCAAAAAATATTTATTTAATAATAAACAATTTGCAGCCATTTTAAATAACATATTTTATCAGATTGTGCATTGTTGTCATGGGTTTTTCAGTTATAAACCTTCAAATCATAAAAATTATTAAATTAGTTTCAATTAATTCCATTGAATTTTAATTTAGAGATGAAGACGATTTTGCTTCTTATTTTTTCTTACGTGCTGCCAGATCCATAATAATATGTACTATTACTTGTACAGAATCCTCCACGGTGACTTCTTTTTGATCACATGAAATTTCTTCCTTTGAACTATTAACTTGTACTTTATTATCCGCAATCTAAACAATGAATGTAAACACGATAAACACAGAAATCGTAACACTTTCTTTGCCTGAATTCAAAAATTATATAGGAATTTGAAAAAAGAGAAACAAAGCAAATAACAAACACTTATAACCAAATAAACACATGAAATTGTTATTCTAAAAACATACTTTGAATCTTTATTTTATAGGAAATTTACAAGAATAAATATTAAAATTTAAAAAAATCAATTAATTTCTGCTTATAAATTTCTTAAATGAAACGTGATATAAAAGCATAAATATTGCATTGTGATTTGGCATTATTAATTGTATAGAAAGTGTAAATTGTTTCAATCATAAAGTCAACTGAAAATGTAATATTAATGAAGAATTATTCTCTGTCGAAGTAAACGAACGAATATTTATTTGCGTATACTTAAAAGCTTACTTTATCTTCATTGATACAATTTAATAAAATGTCTGAGTAAAATGAGTTTTAAATTTTCAGTTTTCAGATTAACTTCAAAAATGTAAATAATAAAATGTTCATTTATATCTTTATACTCGAGAAGCAACGATAAAATCAATCGACAATCAATCGATAAGTTTAACCAATTAAAAATAATTGCCACATTTGTTACTCTTTCGTTACAACTTTTTTTCTTATAAATGAGCATTGTTTTCATTTATATAGCGGCGAATATCGATATATTTGCTGTATCTGTATTCAGCAATATTGATAAATAATGGATAAAAACATTTTGTAAATATAAAATATAGCATTGCTCGGTGAACAAAATTTCAAATGTACTCAAAATCAAGTCGTAAATGTACTTTAAACACTAGTACATTTGCCTTTAGATTACAGTTGTGACAACTTTTCATAAGATTATTATAAATTAACAAGAGATTTCCATCTTATTTTTCAATATCTTATTGTAAAAATGTTATCTGTTTGCTTCTTTTTATTCATCTTAATGGAATCGAATATTTAAATACTAGTAGCCCGGGACGCCCCCCTAGTGGGCGTTATTTACAAATTTCCATAAAACACGGTTCCTTTGACTTTTTTGTTCCTATCAATATGTTGTACAGTTCCGTTAAAGTCCCAATAGTAAGATTTACCCTCCAAATGAAGGGGTGGCAACCCTCCAAACTGTAGCCCCCTATGCGAGCAATAAAGTCAAAGGAACCATACCCCTACTCGCGACCCTTTGCGAGATATAAGCTTGTGAAAATTCGCCCACGTCATTTCCAGTCACATGACATCGTTGTCAAAAGGGAGTCTACTGCGTGAAAAAAAAATTAACGCGCGCTTGTCCATACTCGGGGGTCGCCGACCCGCTCGTTCGTGGGGTAAATTGTGGCAAACAGGCGGTCACCCGTAGAATAATTTTCAGAGGGCTATATCTCGGAAAGGGTCGCGCATAGGGGTATGGTTCATTAGACATTTATCGTTTGCACAAAGGGGGTCGCAAACCCTTTCATTCGGAGGGTAAATCTTATTGTCCCAATCGCGTCATATGGATCTATATTTCTATCTATTAAACATTCTATAAATACTTTAAAATAGTTTAATTTGTTTATTTACCTTCGCTTGTAATACTTGATTTTAAATGTATTCGCCATTTTTTCAACAAATTTCCCGTGAGTCAATGCGCGACGTTTACTGACTTATGAGTCATGGGATGTTGTAAACATGCAGCGCAAGGTTAATCAAGGCATATAATAAGGCAAGGCACATAATAATTATTTATACCAAATATAATTTATTGTTAATTTAAAATCTTTGCTAGGGCGCCTCTAGTGACTGTTTTTTCCGTTATGTGGACAGACTGATAGGTCACACTTTTTTATGCAGCGAAAATGTAGCGTAAATGACGTCATGAGCAGCAACCGCTGCATGGCATTTTAAAAACGCTTGTCGCTGAAGCAAAATGGACACTGTCCCTTGTTCACTGATTTCAGTTTTAGAAAGCAACATATTATTTAAAAAATTACAAGAGAATAAAAAAAAGGAGGTATGAAGATTTAATGGTTGGCATCGCTGTTTCCAATGAACGTAAAAAATCTAGGTGACAGAATATACAAAATTACGTTGAAGAGGTCGTACTTTCATATTGTATGGATGACTTCAAAGCTCATTTTAGACTCACAAAAAGTTCAACAGAAGTAAGTTTTTAACTTAAAATAAGGTAAATTATCAGTTAATTTAGAAATTAATAGAAAATNCTTCCTTACTTCATCATAGCTTATGACGCCCTGGTCCTTTAAGTCGAAAAATACAGACAAAGGCTCACCTTTTAGGCGAGCTCGAACTACGGTGACCTTCACAATCTCGTCCCAGCTTGTCAATGATGCTATGTCCTTGATGGTTTTCAAAAATCTACTTAAATCTAAAGTATTGCCAGGCAGATTCGAAAAACATTGAATCATGCCCATAAATCCAGTTACAATGGGCACATTGCCAAATTCCCCTGCCCCTGTCCCTGAAGATCTACTAGTAATTTGTTCGTCCATAGTTTACCAAAACTTTTTCACAATAAAATGGGTGTTTGGTCAGTTTTTTACAACAAACAACTCGATCAAAATGATCCTGTTGCGACAGGATCATTTTGATTGAGTTGAGTTGATCGCCAATGTTGAGTTTCCTGTAGATCGAAATCCACGGAGACAATAAATATGCATATGCATATATATGCAATCCCCTGGAGGGGGGTGGTCCCTCTTCGGACGACGAAAGTCACCCTCACTTACTACGCAGTTAGTGTGAAAATAAAAAATAGTGTCCGTATTTTCACAATTTTATTCCGCTGACAAGTGATACATGTTCTGCACCATTGATTGGTATCTTTGAGCATGGCTGGCCATACAAAGTGTACCTGAATTAGTTTCCAGGTTGCACGAGTTCCAGGGTGGGAGAGATTGTGAACAGAATTGAAGGCTTCACAGCGAAAGTTAATTGGAATGTATGGTCGTATCCTATTATTTGACGTATCACACATGATTTGTAGTTTTAAATTTAGGGTGATAAGTTGTAGCTGTAAGGAAGATTGTTGGGTAGACTGTGTAGTTTCCTGATTTTTTGGAATGAACAAGGTTGGGTGCATTTTTTTGCATCTGCACCAAAGTTAGTGTGGTAAAAACATAAGCCACCTTCTGGTTCTTTGTAACGGCATCGCTCACGGGATGGACTTCGTCTGTGTGAGTCCTGGCAATTTTGGAAGTTGTATCTTGGGCGATGTTGGTAGCATGGTGCTCGTACCTGGGTAGAGAGTTCATTCACTTGCAATGGGAATTCCTGTAGTTGTTTCTCGATTGGGTTGCTAATAAAGAATTGTTCCTGTTTATGATGATAAGTTTGTGTATTTTATTAGCCATTGTGGTGAGTTGTGACAGTGTTTCATTCAAGGCTGCCAGAATAGCTTGGATATTCCCTGGGAGTCTTGAGAGCCACAGTGATTTTAATAAGTCTTCACTGAAATATTCATTGGCGAGGTCACGCATCTTAGTTAGTAAGTGTGATGGGTGCTTGTCACCCAATTCAAGTCCTTGTAATAGTGTTCGCAATTTAGATGTTTGGCTTTCTGAGTATATGTCGATTAGCCTTTTTTTTTATAGTGGCATATTTATTGCTGTCAGGTGGCTTGGTTACCAGGTCATGCACAGATTCTAAGATGTCTGATTCTATTGTTGAAATTACATAGTAATATTTGGTTATGTCGGCGGAAACGTTAGCAATGGCGAATAGGGCTTCAAGTTGAGCAAACCAGAGAGTGGGGTTATTTTTCCAAAATGGAGGTGGTTTGACTGCCACTCAAGAAATTTGTGGAATGCCTGTTGATTTCATTATATCAGTTGACGAAATTTTTCAAAAATAAAGGTATAAAATTGTCACTGACCTTCTTAAATCACAGGAAATAGTTAAATTTCATTTTTCTGATTTTGTGGTTGTATGATGGAGATGGATTATCCTTGTGAGGCACGTGTCTTCTTTGTTCAGGTCCCCAGTTTTGGAGTTCGAGCCCCTATGCGAATCGCTCGATATTGATGAGAATACGTCCAGTGGGAATTTAATATCTGTTTTCTTTATTTACAAATATATACGGTAATGTACAATACAATGTATTTACAGCCCGACATCGATCGAAGGTTAAAGTTGTTTGTGCTGACCACTTGTTCTATTGTCCGTTTCCAGTAGTCGTTGGTTGGAAGTGGGTGACCAGTTCAAAGTTCACTTTTTTCTTATCCTTGCGCCCTCTATCCTCCGAATCAGCAGGTTGCCGACAGGCGCCACAATTACTTTTTGAGATTTGGTTCCATTTGCTCTTATATTCTAATGGGATACAAGATTGCTAAATATGTGACTATTTAATGGTAAAAACACAGCATATAAAGAATTATAGTGCAATTATGTAGTGGCTGTAATTTGTTTAGATAATAATAAACATTTAGAAATTGCATACACTCCATATACCACTAAAATTGATGTACTTATAAGATTTAGGCTTTTATGTTAGGCTTTCCTCAACGTTTGAAGAAGTATTAAAATAGCTTGTGTCCAGTAATTTTACAGATTACTTTCTGATATCAAATATGTACTGGATTTTAAAGTTCTATTGATTAAGAAAATAATACCGAGCTGTTTCCCTTAGCAAACATTACGTTCCCTCCACCTATAATTGGCTGTGAGTAAGAGGAGGTTTAGCTCTGAATTCTGTCTTTTGTCTATGACTATTTAAAAAATTGTTTTCAGAATAATGTTATCTAGACAATATTATAGTTGAATATGTGATATTACGAATGCATTTAAAATTAATACAAACAATAATGTTTGTTTAAGCTATATACTTATATATATTACTGAAGGTTCAATTACTAATGATAATAGCACTTCTCTCTTGGTAGGAAAATATAAAACTTTAAGTCTTTTAATGTTTAATTTTATTCATAATTTTATCTCATAACATTACAGTATCACGTCTTTATGGTAAAATTCATTTTAAAGCAACATGTCTTTCTGTAATTTTAATACATTTAGACTCCTAACTAATAATTTCCAACATTGCATTTGTAATTCATAATTGTGAATGGAAAGTATTATACCGTTATATCAGAAATCTTACCGTTTAAACTTGGTCTATGAATGTATACTAAATTACACTCACTTCATTTTACTTTATTTAATGAATCATGAATGCAACGTTGACAGTACATAAACAAATGATAAATGCTCTATCTTACTCTTCGGAAAAAGCAGACACTGTTGATGAATAATATCATACATAAATAACCTAAAAATTAACTTATTTTTATATTGAATTAATACAAATTACGAAAAAGTATTAACAATTTAATCCAAAACTAACAGAAATCCAGTTTTCGCCATTGCAGCAGTTTGCTGTAGTGGCAGTAATTTATAACTCTTGTTTGTTTCTGTTTATGACGATGTTGACAAAGTTCTAATGCTTTTACCCCTCGATGTGGGTTCCTGTCCGTGGTGAGGGGACCTCCCAGAGATAGTTTAATAATTCTTCTTTACCATCCCTGGGATCTGAACGCCCACCCACGTGTTTGCCGTGCATGGTGTCCCGTATGCCGGAAAGGGGGATCCTGGTAGTTGAGGGGCAACATAACGTCCCCAATACACTGCTTTGGCCCCTGCTTCGGATAAACAGGAGGCTGAAATCAGGCTCTGTTTGAGTCAATCGGCTGGTCGTTGAGTCATTCTTGACCTCGGCTTGGAGTCAACAGATCAATGCAGACCAGGCGGACACGTCAGACAAGTTGTGCTCTTCTTGACTGCATTGTGAGGCTATAGCTCCTGGGAAACCCTGGTGTGACGGTCTATGGGAGTCTCCCATGTGATGGCATCCCCTTGTCGGGCCCCATGGTGGGTGGGGTCACTAGGAGCTGAATTGTTTTGTCTAAATATGGATTCCAAAAATTTAAAACTAAACAGGGATAAGTTACCTCCAGTAACAACCAATGTTTCCAGCACTGCAACTTACTTGATAGTTCATGCGACTGGTGATAAACCACTGTCAAAATGCTATCCATTTCTTATTCAAAAAATATTTGAATAAACTATTGGGCACTTGGAAAAGATACAAAAATTGAGGTCAGGGGACCTGCTGGTAGAAACAGCCTCACCTCAACAAACAGTAAATCTATTGGCAACAAAAACACTTGGAGACATGGAAGTCACTGTCACCTAACACGGAAGTCTAAACTCATCACGTGGGGTGATATCCGAGATTTATCTGATGTCTGAAGACGAATCAGATATACAGATCGGTCTTTCAGATCAAGGAGTCATTGCTGTTCGACACATCTCCATTCGTCGAGATGGCAAGTTGATACCAACTAAGCATCTCATTCTTACTTTCGGAAAGCCAACATTACATCATTTGTTACTGCAGGATATCTGCGCTGTCTGGTTCATCCATACATTCCAAATCGGCTGTGTTGCTTTAAATGCCAGCGATTTGGACATTCCCAAACATCATGTCGAGGCAAAAGTTTATGTGCACAGTGTGGAGTTGAAGGCCACCAGGGTACTGAGTGTACAACCACTCCATGCTGTGTCAACTGCAAAGAGGCCCATCCTGCCTACTCCCGAAAATGTCCCACGTGGCAAAGAGAGAAAGAGATTCAGCGCGTGAAAACAGTTAACAATCTACCTTACCCAGAGGCACGACGCATGGTAAATTTAAATGCACCAGTGAAACAGAAGACATTTGCTGCTGTTCTGAAATCCACAAAAACATGTGGAGTTCAGACAGACATTTCTGTTCCATCAAATGAATCTCTAACTTGCACGAAAAATGTTTGCTAATACCATCCACCCAAACAGCAGAAGAGGAGAGCAAGAAGAATAAAACACCCCTACCTAAAACAGGTGTAATGACTAGAAATGTGGGTTCTAAGAAGGCTGCTAAGAACCCGCTCAACAAACAAAAATTAAAAGCAGCCATCTCTAAATCTAAGAGATCGGAGGCTCAGTCTATGAGTGAGTTCTCTGACTTCTCTGACGAGGAGACTAATAAGGAGGTGACACTACCAACTTCACCTCCAAAAGGCAAATCAGCCGTAAAACTGAAGAGGGATACCTTCACAAAGAATGCTGCCTCAAACACATAATGGATTATAAAATNCCCTAGCTATTATTTAAATTGAAAATATAAATTCTTTTATATTTATTTCATATTTTTACAGTATAATGTGACGTAAGGGTCGACACTTCTTTAGTGCCCTGTCAGGATTGACACCACCGTTTTTCGTGGAGCACGGAAATCGAGACAGCGTTTTTACATCGTCACATTATCGTGCGAACTGTCCCGTAAATGGAAATTCAGATTTGTAATATCAGCCAATCGGGAGACAGCATATGGAAGTTACTCGGACTCCAATTAGCACTTAGTAAAGATTTAATTAAAAATAAATTGGAGAAGATGCAGAGATTCTAATTTTTGTCACGGAGAGAGAGAGTTGACATAACGAGCGCGAGTTAAATATATACCTGGTGATGAAAGGATATATTTTGATGAAGATATCGTTGATTGAGACAGCAGTTTACTTGGGGGTTTGTTCGAAAATATTATCCACTTAGCTGTCACTGGCACAACGTCGATCGCTATAACAAGGGAAAGTATTCAAATAGGCACTGATAATTCGGAAGGATTCGTTTCTCTCGGGTCGACGATATTCCGGGAGGAATCGGTTACGACTTTCCTGATCGGAGGGACTGACGACGACTAAGTTTTTTGGCCGTCTCTAGCGATATCCACAGACAATATCGGCCGTCCAGAGGTTAAAAGATCACGAGTAAGCGTCGGGTTGCCTTCGAGGACTGGTAACGGGAGACTTTCTCACGTAACTACTAACAACAATTGTTACATAACTCGAATAAAATTAACATTAAGACATAATTTCGATAAAGGAAGTTACCTCACAATAATTTAGTATATTATTATTATTTTTATTTGTAATAGAAATTTATTAATTTTTTATTTATACCATGGAATGACACCGAGCGCGTGCCCCAATACTTGCATCAGGCCTTTTGACTGTTTTTTTTTTATAAATTCGACATTAGATATATATACTTTTATTCTTTTAATATTTTTGTTTGTCTGTTCTTTTTTTTATGATATAAAAATAAGTTCATAAAAATCAACTCATGGGTCATTTAAAAAGCCTGTGTGCGTCGGTGTTTGGCCCACGGGTCATAGGTTTGCCACCACTGGCCTGGAGAGTTCTACTGCAAGCAAGACTGACATCTATCAATGGAATTCATTGACCACGTAAAGTCTGTTTTAGTTCCCGAGAAAACCTAAATTACAGAAAGAATTACTGTGGTAAACAGAGTGAATGCACAAAAGCTTCAACGCCATTTTTGCAGCAGTGCTCATAACATACTAGCAATATGTGATCGAGCATGGTCTCATATAAAACTCTGCGTTTCTTGTTCAATGCAGGCAATGAGCAGGTTGTAATTGATGTTCAGGAAGCCTGACAAAAAGGTCGATTTCCGTACATAGATGATATTTCATGAAATTTATCTAATTTAACGTTCATTAATCGAGGAAATAATGGCAAATCCCGAATCAGATGAAAAAAAATCGTACAAGATTTAAACGCCTAACTTAAGCAAAGATAAAGATGATGACTACATGTTTTACATTTTTTTGCAGATACTATTTTTATTACAATCAAAACATTTCACTCCGTAAAGGCGTAAATTCATATAAACAATTTGAAAAAAAAAAGTTTCCTCCTTTGATTTTTACTTCAATGTTTTCATTTTTGTTTTCACTATGGCTTATAGTTTTCAAGTAGAGAACATCACATCTATTTATACATTTGATGTTTTCTACTTGTAATTCTGTACTAAAAATTGTATTTCATTTATGGAAAACATTTTTTACTCCTATAATATGTAATATCGTGTTAAATTTTGTATTTTTTTTCTTCGGCAATTCTATACATTTTATATGAAAGGCGAGTAAGTTTCATCGAATGTCTGCCATATAATCATTAATCATTAATTATATTATAATTTTATATGATTTGTTTTTTGAAACCGTGTTTTCGTATTTATTTACTATTGAACACAAGACTGTGTTATGATTAAAACACTTGGCGTTTATTTATTTTATTCAGTTTATACAAGCACTTTTACACGTTTCGGGCGTTTATACAGGCACTTTTACACGTTTCGTACAGCACAAGTTATTATAACTTGTGCTGTACGAGTCCCATTGCATTTTTAATGTCGACTGATGAGGGGCTATACGCCCGAAACGTGTAAAAGTGCCTGTATCAACTGAATCTAAGTACAGCACAAGCTATAATAACTTGTGCTGTACGAGTGTCATTGCAATTTGTTTTGCAATTTTACAAATATAAAACTTCATTACGTTAAACAATTTAAAACATATTTTAAATTGAAACAGTTCACATAACTAGCAGAATTTAGTTCAGTTGAATAAAATAAGTATGAAAATGAACACAATACAAATCAATACAGTACATCAGAACACTGTTATTTATACTGAAAAATGTATCATAATTTATTTGAGAAAGAGTATACGGAGTTAGTTCTGATTTTAAAATAACAAATTAAAGTTTTTCAAAAAGAAAATTCCTTAAACTTAATTAATAATATATAAATTATATTGTGAGATTAGCAGTGGGCCACTGTGCTCATCCCAAATGACCTCTTACTCTGCAACAGGTTGGTAAAACCCGTTCTCTGCTTGTCGGATGGCTAGAAAAACAAAAATTTGAGTGGGGAGTGCGTCGGTAAGTCGGCAGGTGTCCTTCAGAGACAGGAGACAGGTTTAAAAACTAAACAAGCATTTATTTATATAACTAAAGCTAGGATACATAGGTTAAATGCGATTAAATAAGTTCACTATACAAAAAGGACGTTCTAATAGTTTTACCTGCTAGTCTGAGAGAGAGTTCACAAAGCTCTAAAAATTACAAATACCTCTATGCGGATATGTCTAATATGCGTTCGTTGAATATGTTCGTTAATGGCGATGGAAGTTCAAATGGCTGTGGTTGGTCGTATGTCCTTTCGGTCCGGAGTATGGGAACAAATATGGCACATCTACAAAGTATAACTTTCGAGGGATCGCCCGGAGCTTTCGGGGACTCGAGCTTTTATACGTTATTCGTAGGAAATGAGTTAGGTGATCGACTTCTGTTGACGCACACGGTGCACTCCGATCAACCAACTGTCAACTTTCCTACCATAATGTGAAAAAAATCTGATATACTTCTCACCAACAGTGTTTATTTTCATCGGAGTTGTTTACAAAGATTTTTCCGACATCGGCGTAAAAATCACGGATTTCACAATATTATTTTATGAAATTATATAAAATTTATATAAAATTATATGCTAATCATATAAAATTAATGAACATTAATTTTAAATGATTATCATATTAATAATCATTAATTTCTGTTAATAAGAGTTACATATTAATTAGTCAAATATGTTAAATATTTTTATTAAATTTGGATTCGTATAAATTTAATTCTGTAGCTTATCAGAAAAATACTAAATGAAATAGAAGTATTTTGAATTCAACACATCAGAATCATTTATGTTCGGCCCATTTTATACAATACAGATAAACACGAGCATATCGTTAACAACAGATCAATTTACGTAAACTTAAATGTCAGAAATTATTCATGTCATAGATAAATAAAATGCAACAAACAGCGAAAAATAGTATTATTATGAAGTAGATTTAATAACAATAATCATAATACATTTTATTCTCATCATTTTTATCTATAAAAATGTAAATTACAATTTTTGAGTAAAGTTTAATAATACGTAGAATTATTTCGATACAGTTTTTAAATGCGCTTGTTTAGATTATATGATATACGTCTATGTTTATATATATCTGTAAGAAAAATTACCCCAACGTTCAGGTTATCTCATATTTTACAACATACGTCTTTGTTCTACGCACATTCTTATACCTGATATTGGGGTCAACATAACTGCGTTTGAAATAACGATTTTATCCTGAGGATCCAAAGAGTAAACTTTAAAATTACGAAGAACATTTGCCAAAACCATTTTCATTTCAATCATGGCAAGTTTACTTCCTGTAAATAAATTATTTTAATGACATAATTCTTTTTTTTTGTATTTATTCTCTAATCACCTACCGAGACAATTTCGTGGACCGGCAGAAAATGGCAGAAATGCATAAAGATGAAGATTTTTATAGTTTACAGGTAAAAAACGGTCTGCATCGAACACCTCGGGATTTTCGTAAACAGAAGGATTATGATGGATGCCATAGATATTTATGACAAGAGTCGAATTTGCAGGCAACACGTAATTACCTATTTGAATGACAAGGGTTTAATACTTCGAGTCAATAAAAGAAATAAAAAATAATTATAGAAAAACAAATTTTAAGGTATCAAAAATTACTTATTTTCATTTCCGTAGGATTTTTTCTTGCAATAAAAGGACCAGGAGGATAGATTCTCATCGACTCCTGGAAATTATAATTTATAAAACTAATCCTTGAATGTATTATATAAATTAAGAAGGTTACCTTAATTACGCATTCTAAGTACGTCATTTT